GGAGAAGTATGAAAGGAACAGGAATTATTGTATTTCGACAAATAATGAAGAACAGATGTGAAGTTGATATCATTAAAAGATTCATTAAAATGGTCAAAGAGAATAAAGAAGAAGTCATTGGAGATGAAAAAGCAGAAATAGAATGGTGTTTAGCATATTTAAATAATAGAAGTAAAGAAAGTTATAGTAGAAAATTACATGAAGAATGTTTATATTGTTGTTATTTATATGATATTCTAAGTAAAACTAATAAAGAATATGAAGAAATGTATGAGAATCGAATAATGATTTGTTTATTGGGTGCATCAAGTGGAGTAGAAGGAATAGGAAAAGATGTGATTAATGAAGTAGAAGAAATGAAAGAAGAAGCAAAAAAGTGTCTTGAAGAAATAAGAAGAAAAGGAATTAACACAACAAATTCAATTGAAAAACTTGAAACAACAATAATCACAGTTGAAGTAAAAATATGTATTATCAAAGAAGAAGGAATAGATGAAGCAATTACAAAATTACTTAGAACAGGAACAAATAGTTGAGTACTTGAAATGGTTGGGATGAGTTGTATTGAAAATGGATATAAAACATATGGAATCAAATGTTTAAAGAGTGGTATGTCAATGATATGTAAAAGAAATGAAGTTGATGGTGTTAGATTATCACGAATTATTCGAGAAATAATAAATGAAAGTGAGGATGAAGAAATACTTGATATGATAGATAAAGCAATAACAATGATTAAAAGCACAGATGGAATATACCCGAAAAAAGAAATTGAGTGGTTAATGAGAATTAGTTGGAATAAAGGAAATAAAAGTAGATATAAACAAGATAATAGAAGAGCAAAAGAATGGTATAATAAAGCAATAACATTAAGTGAAAATATAGAAAGAAGAGATGAGATTATAGAAAAGATGAATAAAGAATATCAAATATTCATAAATGAAATAAATAAATGAAGTATTTTTAATAAGTTACAACGTAAAGAAATAATAAAGATAAAAATGATAAGAAAAACAAATAAACTAAATAAAAGATTTAAAAGAATACAACAAAATAAAATATACATTCTCAAATGGTTATAAAACAATAAAATAAGAAGAATATTAATAGTAAATAATCCAAAATGAAATAAAAAGAATGATAAATGAAATAATATAATAATATGAAATATCCTTTCTATCTACTTTCATCATTCTTTTTTCTTTCTACTACTCTACAAATTACAACTCTTATTTCTTGTTTA